TTAAACAGAGCTCTCAAAAGATTAAAACAAACAAACAAACAAAACACATGTTCACCATCCTTGGCCAACAAGGAAATGCAAGTTAAAACTACTTTGATATTTGATATCTTTATCTTACTCCAGTCAGAATGATTAAGATTGAAGAAAAAAAATGATGACAGATCTGATGTGGAAGGGGAAGGAAGAACACTTACTGCTAGTAGGAGTACAAACTTGTTCAGTTAGTATGCAAATTAGTGTGGAAGTCACTCCAAACGCTGCAAATAAAGTTACTGTAGGCCAGCCTAGAATCCACCCCGCTAGAGAGACTGGGAAACAGGGAGGACCCTAAGAGAGACATGCATGGTACCCTGGAGAAGAGGAAAGGGACAGGATCTCCTAAGCAGATTGGGAGCATGGTGGGAGGGGAGAAGGGGCTGGGAGAAACAGATGGGGAGAAGAGGAGGGGAGAGGAGGAAATGGGGGAGCAGGAAGGTTGAGTTGGGGGAAGAATAGAGGAGAGCAGGATGAGAGATATTGTAATAGAGGGAGCCATTGTAGATTGGAGGAGAGATCTGGCGCTAGGGAGATTTCCAGAGATCTACAAGGATGATACCAACTGGCAATCTAAGCAATAGTGGAGAGGCTACCTTAAACACCCTTCCCCAATAATACCTTATATGCCACCCTAGAGCCTTCATCCAGTGGCTGTGGAAGCAGAGGCAGTCACCCACACCTAAGCACTGAACTCAACTCCTGGAATGAAGATGCAGAGAGAGAGAGAGTGATGAGCTAAAGCGTCAAGACCAGGCCGGTGAAACCGACAGAAACAGCTGACCTGAACAGGGAGGGGGAGCTCATGGACCCCAGATTAATGGCTGGGAGGTTAGCGTGGGACTTATCCAGACCCCCTGAATGTGGGTGTTAGTGAGGAGGCCTGGACAATCTATGGGGCCCCATGTAGTAGATCAGTACTTATCCCTAGGGTACAAATGGATTTTGGGAGCTCATTCCATGTGGAGGGATGGTCTCTCAGCCTGGACACATGGGGGAGGGCCTAGGCCCTGCCCTGGATGATATGACAGTCTAT